GAAACGTAAGTTTCATAAACAAAATTCAAAGTCGATCAATAGGGACGCAGAATGATTCAGAACGTTCTGCGATCTTAAATCATTCTTTTTAACGCCGGTACCTGCAGAAAGCGTCAGTTCTACAAATAAAGGAGTTAAGGGAGAGAAACGCGTATCTAGGGGTGATGACAATCCAGTAGCAGTTGGCAACATAAATCTTGAATGATGAGCGACAATCCGATTCAGGGAAAGTTGTTAATGCCACGTTACAATCCATCATAGGAAATGTTGCCACAATGAAACGACAATCCGCATCTTTGAAAAATTGCCAAAGTCCAACTTAGGATAAGTTACCAACGCTGCGTCACAACCCGCCGTAGGTAATATTGTTACGATCGAAAATCCACGCCTTGGAACATAACTCTCGAAAGACAATCTACTTTGGAAAATTTGTCAATGCCATGTGACAATCCCTTTTAGGAGAACATTGCCACAATAGGAAATCTGCGTCTTGGAACATTTGTCGAACAAGCCAAACAACAATCCGCTTTGGGAAAATTTTCCACCACAGAAAATGAATGACATCCACGTCAGGGAACCTTTGCCGAAATATTGAATAATGACCCATGACAATCCTCTTTGGGAATTTTACCATAGAGAACTCAGTGAATGACAATCCAATCTTGGAAAATTGCCAAAGAAAATGACAATCCAATCTCGAAAAAATTGTCAAGGATTTGACAAATGTATGACAATCTAATCATGAGAAAATTGTCAAGGGAAATGATCTGTGACAACCCATTTTTGGAAAAAGTTGCCAAATAAAGAAGGTGCGGTGTGACAATCCACTCTTGGAAACATGCCAGTTGAGGTGACAATCCAATCTTGGAAAAAATTGCCAATTAGAATGATGTATCTAAACCTTGCAATAAGTCAAATTTTGCCAAAGGACCTTGAAACCTAGTTAGCTTGAGGTTGACTCAAGGCTTGGTGTACTTGACTCATTGTGTGACTCGATGTACTCAGATAGACTCGAAAGTTTTGACACGTTTGTGCATACTCAACTCGATGTGGTGACACGACATGACTTAATGTGCATGACTTGTGTGTAAAGACTCAACTTGATGTGATGATATGACATATCCTACGATGCGGTGTGCATTGTGTGGTGATTGTGTTCGTGCGACTCGAAAATGCAGAAAAAGCAAAAAATTTCCGTCATTTTTGTGAAGGGTACCGACTTTCCCCGAAAAGAAAGACGTGAAAATGAATGAAGGTGAAGTGTTGGTGAAAAATGAAGTTTTTGAACTTCCTCAAGATGAAATGAATGAATCAAGCGATGGTGCATGTTGAGTGATTTTAATCAAGTATATGCGTTGATGTTGTATCTCATGGTGCAAGGATTGTAACATCCTCGGCTATCTCAATTGATGACTCGACAATGAATGTGTTTGGGTAACTTAGGCGCGGAGGCTAAGTACTTCATACTTTGTGATGCAATGATGATTATGATAATGAGTGATTCTAAGATAACAAGGCGTGCTTAGAGTTGTATCAGGATTTCATGACAAAGGGTTCCTAAGGGAAGAAGTATTTGGCTATGTATTTGTGATGTGTGTGAGAGTGACACTAAGGTTAGGCTGCAAAGGCTAAGGGTGTGAAAATATTTTAAGAAGAGCCAAACGATGGCGGTGACTCTTAGGCTGGGTAGACTAATGAAGTAGGGATCAAGCCCCCAAGTCTAGCACTAAATGGATAGGGATGAGCATTGGAGATCCCTGATATGATCATGCATGAATGTGAATGAACGTGATGAATAATTATTACGGCCGTACCCCAATGTGAGGTTGCCTACGTATCCGTTAGGAATCAGGCCGAACGTAGCTCTAGTCGAATCTCGCACAAGTGTGTGTACACCTCAATGAGGTCTTTCAGGGGTTGTAATGCGGTTAGGCTAAAGGTTGACGAAGACAGGATAAAGGATCAAGACCCAATTAGATAAGGCCCCAAGGTGTGGAACCTTGCATTTGAATCTTGGTATTTGTATGCTTGAGATTTCTCACTTTTGAACTCTCTTTTTTTTTGTTTTTGCATTTGAGATTCGTATTTGAACTTTCTTTGGATAAGTGTGGGCAATCCCGATCATGCGGTCTATCACTCACTTGGCATTCATGTTTCTCAGGCACGGTGCCAAGCACTCGATAAGAGATGCAATCTAAGACATGTTCATATCAAAGACATTGGAACACTTTCCCTTTTGCACACTTTTATTGTTTTTTTAACTTTAAAAATTTTGGGACTTTGGTAAAAATCACTCAAGCTTTTGTACTTGGCTTTGAAAATTGCATAAGTTGCACACCATCCCATCCCAAGGTTAGGTAGATGTGGGTTGAAAAACGAAAGGCCAATCATTAGACGAGGCTCAAAGTGGTTTATCTAAAGAGATTGTATATTCGAAAGGGTGAAGGTGATATGATGTGGCTACAAGGGGTGCCTCAAATCATTGGTATACCTTGTGTTTAGATCGGCGTGGATTTTTTTTTAAATGAAATGCAATGCAATTATCATATGCAAGGAAATAAAATGCTCATTTTATTAAAATGGAAAGGGAAAAATCAAATTCATGAAGTAAATCTAGGAAAAAAATGGAGGGTGCCTATGCTAGACTTATTGGGGAAAGGTTTGATAAAAGAAGAAGAAAGCATGAAATCTTGGTAATAAGCTTGCATCGTTCTTTGTGTTTCCTTGACCAAAGGTTGTAGAAAGGGGAAGCCATGGACGCTTATTATCAATCACATGACTCGAACTCGATTCAACATGCATAGATGGAGAAAGAGCATAGCATATGAGGTGAATGGTATATTGGGGAAAGCATGAAAGAGGAAAGTATGTGAATGTGGAAAGTGTTTAAGAAGGAAAGTGTGAGGTGTGTAATGTATGGAAAGTGATGTAAAGGGAAATGGTGTATTTGTTGAAGGATATGGAAATTTTCGGGAATGGGAAGGACCCTCAACTCAAATGATAGAAAAGATGACTCATGCATGGACCTAAGACATGGTCATGGTGTGAAAAAAGACATATGCAAAGTGTGTGCAAAGACTCATGATTGAAAGTGATATGTTCAAGACTCGTGTGGTGACCATGGGACTAGACATATGGTTGGACTTAAACAAGACCAGGTAAAGACCATGTATGTACATTAAGCTAGTTAATCGTGATAGGGGACTCAATGCGAAGACTCGGAAAGAAAATACAGAACCAACGCATAACACTTGAACTATCGCAGGAGATGGGTTCAACGCGAAATGAAAACTCTATCGCGACGCGTTGGATTCCATCGTTCTGCACTACAAATTCGAAGTAATACGCCAGTACCGAAGCATTACGATGATCTGTTTTCAGTTATTCTTTTGAAGGTTTAACCCTTAAGTCTTCTAGGTCGAGCATATTTCGACTTTATGGATTTATATCAATTAATCAAATTAATTAAGGAAAGTCTTTTTAGACCTTGGTTTGTATTTATGGACATATGTGCAAGAAATAAGTAAACACAAAGGGTTAGTTTTTATGGTTTTTACTTTTTATCAATGATACTCTTCATTATATTTTGATTATTGTGAGGAGGGTAGCCCGTCGATGGGGATCCCACTTCCTCTATGCCCATGGCCCTTTAAAAGCCTAGGACTTTACACTTTTGAAGGTGTGTTAGGATTTGAATTCCTGACTGTTTGGGAGACCTTGAATTAGAATTGATTATATCATTATGCTTTTTGTAAGAAACTAAAGGAGAGTTGCCAATGAGTTTTAGGAAAACTCATAAACCTCGTTCGTGCTTTTCTCCCAATTAGAGTTCAAGGAATATTTATCACGAATCATAAGTTTACCCATGCCTAAATTGGTCTACTTGTACTAGAAATGAGTTCAGGAGTGAGGGTACTAGAATAACGTTTCCTTTAGGGGGGAATCACTATCTTAGCCCTAGTGCGCAACCTCTACTAGCTCTTCCTTTTTCACAATTTCATCACCAAACAATATATGCAACATGATACCTAAAACTAAGTGAGTCGATTTTATTTACAAGCATTAATCACAAAAAGTCTACATTGCAACGAATGTCGTTATTCTTATTTAACTCAAATTCGTTAAAAAAAAAGAAATAAAATAAGATTCGCCTTGACTTAAATGATAAAACAAAAATTAATTATTCAATTCTAGTCTTTAATTAACACAAGAATACTATGTGAAATTGATTAATTAAAGTTAATTTAAAGTGAGCACACAACACTAATTAATCAATTAAAGTTATTTAAATGAGAAAAGAAAAGTAATTTATCTAAATGCTTAGGAAACTAACCGTTCTTCTTTGCTTACTAAATGTCCGTTTTAGATGTTTATGGACCTTCTATATCCTTTGTACTTCCAAGGACTTCAAAAGGATGGATTACGGTTAAAGAGTAGTTGGGAAGAGAGGCGAAAAGTAGTATGATATTAATAGAATTTGAGAGATTAGGGTTTTTAGAATTCTAGGGCTAAATTTCTGAATATTTTTTGTTGTTTAGGTCTAAGCGAAGACCCCTATTTATAGGCATAGGAATTTGTAATACCCGATATTTTAATACTCGATTTGTTATACTCTAAATATAATTTTATAAGCTTAATTAAATTTAATCTTTATTTTACCAAGTATAAATGTATTAGTCTTAATATGAGTATTACTCTAACAATGTATTATTTTGGGAAACTAATTTTACGAAATAAAGTAATTTATTTTTAAAATTTAGCTCGGGTCAAATTATATTTTTGTGTTTCGTCAAATATCTAAAGTTAATATCAATATCTGTAATTTTACCCGATACTATGAATTGGTAAAATACCCTTGCCTATCCAATAAGAAGACAAAAGCCACCTCCTAACTTGCTTCTTGCTTCCTTCACCGTTAAGAATGGAAAATGAGCAAAGTTAAAATTTGCTTCTTTCCCATTGGATGTTCAATGGTTTCACTTATCATCTTGTCTAAAGTTATGTGAGTTTAATGTTCATGTTTATCAAATTAATATAGCAATCTTGATCTTTTTCTTCCTTCTCTTACAAGTTTATAGTAGCAAGTAAATATCACCCGTAAGAAACACCACCACCGCTGTACCCTTCCCCTGCTCTAGACTGCTATTGTCACCTCCCTCACACACCGACCCAGCTCACGCAACCTCCCAGTTCACGCCCATCTTTTTCCTCCTCCATTTATAGCTTGTTCTTAAGGAAACCCGCTACTCCATTCGTGCAAGTCAAAGTGAGTATTTTACTCTTCCCCAATATAATTTTGAGTATAATAAGTTTATCTTTTATTTGAGATACAAACTCTTACTTCCTTTGAGAACGATTATGTATATAAATTTTGATGATGAGCCTTACTATTAAGGAGAAATAATTCTTATGTTCATTAGCTAAATAGATAAAGCACTGAGTAATGAGTAGTAGTGCTCAGTTTTCACGTGAAAGAGGTGAAACCAATGAGATTTAAAATGCTACTGAACTTATTTTGGGAGCATTTTGTTTTACTCTTAATTTTGTAGTATGTTGAGTTACTGAAACTATCTTAAACCCTCCTTAATTTTTTAGTATGTACTTGCTTTTCTAAATATCATATAGCCTAGGAATTTGATAGTCACGTATTGTACCTCATATTACTAACTTTCTATAAGGTTGAGTTTTGATACTAAAATAAGTTCAGTATCTTTAACACTAAAGACTTATAATAATGTATCTCCTACTAATATGAATAGTAGTATTACTCCGTAGTGTATATGAATCCTTGCTAGTTTATTTTACAGAAGCTTTAAATAAATCAAGTATTTAGAATATTCATCATTTTTCCCTACTAATACGATAATTTAAATTCTTGTTACATAAAAAGTGGAATCGGACCTCGGAGCTCAGTAAGAACAATAAATTAAAAGCATACAGGAAGGTTATCAGGCTATAAATTGAGGTAACGGTTATTGCTAGTACCCGCAATTCCCTTCGAAATGTGTTGATAAAAGCATGATGTCACTTTTGAAAGTTATTTATATCTCGGGATATATTGTTAATGACTTGCGGGATGATAAACGTGTTTATTGATGTATTCCAGTCATATGATTTTATATGAATGATCTTATGAATATAAGATGTTTTATTGATCTTTGGATCTCACGAAAGTATGTTATGAACCTATGAATGATCTATGTAAAAGTTACATAACATGATAAATAATAGTGAAAGACCTAGTCCGTATGGGCAGTATAAGTTTACAGGTTACTTTTCGGTCATGCATGTACCCATGGGGCATTATGCTAAGCATCTGCTTTATGTTATGGGCACCTGCCCATCGTGGAAGACGTTCCGCCATGTCATACTTTCCAGCGATTAGCATGTTAATTAAAAAGTTATACATGATTATATGAATTTTATTAAATGTTTTATAATATTCCATTCTCCCTTTTTTGTTAACTAAAATGAATTGAAATGATGTTACACTACTGGAGGAGTAGTACGTTACTGAGTTTTCGGCTCATCGCTTTTATGTTTATATGTTTTAGGTACTGTTGGGAATGATGGAGACGAGTAGTGGCGAGGATTTTTTTTTCAGTTACCACTTAGTAGTTTACAGTTTTAAGTTGTTTAATTTGAATAGTAAGACTAAACTACTTTAGTAAGTTTATGTTATGATAGAATATGCTATTATAGAGATAAGAATAATGTTTGTAATAAATAGATTTCTATATTTTATAAATAAATTTCGTTAATTAAGTATGATTGTTGCCTTGTAACACTCCAGAGGGAGTTATGACAGTGACGTCTCGACTGAATTAGGTTAATTCCGCTGCTATGATTCTCTTACTAACTTAATTAGAGGTTGGGGCGTTACAGACTCTAGGTTTAGGGTTTTAGATTCGCGACGTCGTGTGGCACGCACAACTCTTAGTGTCGCGTTGGAGTCATGCGGCGTCATGTGGTGTCATGTGGCGCGCGCAACTCTCAAAGTCGAGCAGTGCGGTTTGCCTTATACGAAATTGCATTTTTAAAACTTCCACAACTTTTGATTGAAAATTCGGATTAAGGAAAATAAGATATCATTGGAAAGATCACAATGTCTAATTTCCAATGCCTTTAGAATTAGGTTTAAATCTATTATAGATCAAAAGATATGGTTGTTTGAGTGTAAGGGTGTCGGTTTTAAGGCCTGGTTTAGTATTTTGTTGATAACATCTTCATTTTAACTCGGAATTGAGATTATAATATACCGTTGGAAAGGTCTTTAAAAGGGCTATCCATCTGTATAGTCCATAAATGGATATTATGTGGTTTATTATTTTGATTGGCTCGGTTTTCAACAATGTAAGATCCATTAGATCTAATCATTGCATTTAATGCATTTAGGTCTATTATTAATCAAGATTAAACATGTATGAACACGTTTAAGCCGTAATTAGTAATCAGATTAGGCTCTAAGGTAATTTGTTCTCAAATACAGGTTCTAACTTACTTCATAATGCATTTTGGAGTCCATAAACACTTCAAATTTGATCTAGCATGAAGAACGGGTTTTTGTACCATCGTCGCACTTCCTGTCAAGACAGGAGGTCAAAAGTAGATGTCTACAATTAGCCCACACTTTTATTGAGTCTATAGTAGACGATGATCAAAGTACTCAAGGAAATAAATCCGAGACTCATTCTGCGAAGTTCCTTAAAGATAAGGAAGCTTTTAGTAGTATTGAGAATGTCGAAACTATCCTCGATTCGCTAAATGTTCAAGAAAAGTAGCTACTAAGTTTAAAATAATTTAAACTTAGCGCGCTATAGAGTCTAGGTTGATCCTTTGCAAGTATATAACACTTTACAAGTAAAGGCTGTCCTGGGTGATGTCATGTTATGAGAAGGTACCGGGTTTAAAAATATTAGAAGGGGATGATACCCTCTAAATATGTCATCAGCGGTCTAAAGTCCCTCAATTTGTCATTGGAACTCTAGTCCATGATCTTAACAAAGTAAAAAGATGATAAAATAGGGGTGCTTCGGCATTCGGAGCCTAATGCTTGAATAAAAGATTGACATACGTTGCCAAAATAAATACTCGATGTCCAAATCCAGTGAGAGAGAAGAAAATCGGCGACTCTCTCAGCAGTTTTGTCCACAAGATGAAAACACGCGACTCAAGACTGGGGGCACGTGTCTAAATAGGTGCAGCTTTAGTGGGGGCCGCTCTTTATACAGGGGGTGGACGGACACCCTAACTGTCCGGTAAAGTTAGATAGCTTTCTAGCTAACCGTATTTGCTTCCAACGGGGGCGTTTGTCCCCGATGGTTCGGCGCGCCTATCGACTCGTTTAAGCTATTGCCTTTAACAGAAATAGGGGTTCTATCGTGTTTTACGGGAGGCAGATCACGTTGCTAGTGCAATTTTACGCAGCACATAGGCCGTACAATTTTACGTTGTACGATATGCAGTAATTTTGTTAAGAACGCCAAAAATACGAAAAACGTGACATTTCTGTTTTGGGGTTTTCTGATGTCCTGCGGGAGAGCTACAATTCCGAGACTGGAACCGGACGCCTGTACCTGCAAAATAACGGAGACTCCTGAGAGCTCCGCCTCCAACGGTCAAGTTAGTACCTGATTAAGGAGTAATTAATACAGAAATTAAAGTAATAAGGTCTCTCTAGGTGAGAGTATTTAATGTAGGTAATCTGCTTTGCTAGCGAGATCAGCCGGTTATTAGTGTGTTCCGTAATGTTTCTCCTCCGTTCCGTTAATTATTCCGTCCCTTGATTAATGAGGATTAATCGAGTATTTATAGCCTTGGGAAGCGTGCAACTCTCTAGGTTTAAGGTAAACCTAGGGCCGATCGGGCTTCTAGACTGAAATGGGCCTTGATGGCCGGTTGTCCCATTTGGCATGGGTGGACACGTGGCGTGTCTTAAGTGGTCCGTGGAGGACGCGTGGCGGAACCTGGTTGGTCCACTTGTCAAACGGCGCTTGGTGGATAAAAATCCCCTAATCATTTGCCCCTCACAGGTGGCACGCGACTGGTCACGTGTCGCCTGTGACAGGCGTCGCACGGTGACAGGCGATGGCCCGTTACAGGTGTCACCTTGCAGACGGCCGGGAGACTCTCCCGCCCAAATTTGAATTCGGAAGCGACCCTTCGCCTTCTCATTTTGCCTATAAAAGGAAGTGCTGACTTCGGTCATTTTCACATTTGAGAATTTTTGCGAGAACATTCGGACCCCTGAACTTGCTCTGACATTTTCGGACTTTTTCTGCCTACCGCCTGTTCTGACAAGCCGACTGACCCGAACTTTCAGGACTTCATCAACTGTCATCCGTTCAGGTAACTCAGTTCTCTTACTCTTAATTTTCTTTTTATTTTTTTGAAATGGCACCATGGAAGCACACGACACGCCCTAAGTTAGTGATCAGCCGGTCACCGGGGACGGCTGAATCTAGGACTAGGAGTGCCGCCTGCCCTTTTCTGGACCCATCTTTGCCCTTTATACAAAGTCCGACTGAATCTGTGTCTATGCAGAACGTGATGGCCAGAACAAAAAAGACTGCTAGAATATCAAACTCAGACGGCTCCTCCCAAAGGGTACTCCTTAGCGAAACATCTGACCAGGCGCCAGATGTGGAACGAGGCGACTGTCAAGCTGACAGTTCTGAGAGAGGGACCAAGGTGTTCCCTTCTCATCTAACCGTGGACATGTCCAATTTACCTTCTGCTCCTTCTAAGGGAGAGGAGGCGGGCCCCTCTAGGAGAGGGGAGGAGTCGTCCTCTTCGGACTCGTCAGGGGACGAGTCCGATTCCAGCTCTTCTGACCATAGTTCTTCTAACCATAGTTCTTCTGACTCAGAAGAAAAACATAACCGCCTACAAGAGGCGAGAAGTTCCCATGCAGTGGAGAAGGGGGATAATTGGGCAGAGCCGTCCGCCTCTTACAGAGAGGAAAACACCCCCTACTACTGCAGGGTGCCCCGGGGCCGGATCGCAACCATGCGAGACAACGTGGCGAGCTTTATTGCTAACCACAAAATGGGCCCGGAGTATTTACTGTTTGTGCCGGATCCAGAAGATACTGTCGTCTGGCCGGCTGGTACCAGCTATGGTGACGGCTGTTTTGGCTGCTATGTGGCGGCCATCAAAGCTGGTCTGCGCTTCCCATTACATCCGGCTGTTCAGCGGATTTTAGATGGGTATGATCTGGGGTTATGGCAGTTAGCCCCAACTCTTGGGTAAACGTACTCGGCTATGTGGCCGGGTGCGAACTGAACGGGGTGGAGCCAAGTTTTGAGGCTTTCGCCCACATGAACTATCTCAGCCGGACCCCTAAGTCGGGAGGTACCGGCTGGTATCAACTAACAAGCCACAGGGGTTACCTCATGACGAGAGGTAAGGCAAACAAATGGAAGGATTGGCGGAACACCTTCCTTATTATCGAGAGTTCAGACACGGAGCTGAACAAACGTTTTAACAAGTGGAACAGGGATCCGCCTCTTCTTGCAGGCGGCCGCAGCATGCCGCCTGTTCCCCAAAGGCTAAAAGAGAGATCCTAGACAAAGGACTCTTCAAAGTAGAGACTAGGGTGAACTCTACTTCAGGGGTACGAGAGCAAGTACCCCTACACTGCGTCCCGAGCTTCAAGTGGCTCTATGATGAGTACTTCTTGGCCGCCTGTGGCCTCGGCAGTCGGTGCTCTAGAGGTAGCCGGCCTGACGAATACTCTGTTTTTTCACGCCTTGTTTACTTGGGATTTTTACTAACTTTGCTGTTTATTTCTTTCAGCCGACGCCATGAGTAAAATAACAGCATCTAAGACTGCGGCGGCCATGCTGCGGGTTTCGCTAATGAAGCAGTCGTACGCCGACTCCCCCAGCAAGGAGGCACCCTTGGTAAGCTTTGAAAACTCTTCCCCTTTAAGTTGTATTATGCATATACTAACTCTTTTTGTTTTCAGTCTGGCACTCCAAGGGCTTCTTCCTCGCAACAGCCGGACCCCAAGGCCCGGAGAACGACTGTTGCAAGCTCTCCTGGGTCTTCCAGGAAAACAGTGGCGGCTGAGAAGCAGCCGGCCACTTCCTCAAAAACCCAGGCGGGGCCGCCTAGATGTATGGACACTTGCTTGTAAAAACTCACTCTTGCTTCCTTCTTGATTAGGTCTAACTTGTTTTTCCTTTTGCTTAATGCAGCCGGCCCCCAGGGACTTGACTTGGTTGAGGTAGCCAAGTCAATGGTTAAAGTAGTTCCTCCCTCTGACAGGGAGGCGGTCAAGGGTGCCGGCACCCTTGACCTCGATGGAATTTCGGGATCCTAGCTGAGGTATACCCTTTTGAAGTTCCAGGACGCCTGTTAACCCTTTTGATTGGAAACTGACGCCTGTTTTTTCTTTGTACTTAGGCCCTGCTCCGAGTCAACAGCCTTCGCAAGCCGATTGATCGGAAAAACAAAGAGGTAAAGGCCGCAAAGGCTATGGCCGCCTCCAGCTGTGATAAAGCAATGTTTCAAATTGCCCAAAATGAAGTACTGACCATTGATCTTCTTTATTATCAGGCGCAGGCGACCGCCGCTGTTCGGCTCAGCTAGAGGCGGCCCAAAAGAAGGTTGACGAGCTGGAGGGGACCGTCACCAAATTTAAAGCCGAGCTGAAACCCCTTCGCCAGAAAATGCACTCTTACGAAGCCATGGAGAAATCTTTGGCTAACGTAAAAGAACGCCT